GACCTCTCTTCCCATTCTTGGGCCTGCATGACACAGAACCTGTCACATTATTTACTCTCAGGATTACACTTAGGGAAGATCTCTCTAAGATGCATATGTGCATGGACTGGTTTGAACCTTTTTCTTGAAATAGGTTTCAAAAACACAAGGAAAAAAATCTATTCAATGATGTGTTCTCAGCCAGTCATTGAAACTGCTCCCAAAGTTGGCAACTATATTTCTCAAAACTTCTCTCTCTTCCTCCAAAACCTTGCTCCTCTTTGCCCAAGATGCTTTGTTCCTTCTTGGACTACCTGAGAGTCCTAAGCATTTGCTTGATTTCTTATTCTTTTCCAGAATAAAAGTCTCCCTGATCTCTGTATCTTCCAGATCCAGTTCAATTCTTCATAAACCCTCCCCCAAGGACACCAGTTCTCTCTGACTTCATCTTCCTCTATTCCTCTATTCTCTGAACCAAATATTTGACTCTTTCCATGGTGCTCCTGTGCACTGTTATCCACCATTTTGTAGATAACCGACCTGTCCACCTGTTTAGATCATAAACCCTTCATGGGCAAGGACCTGCTCTGACACAGCTACCACATTCTCAGCACCCAGCAGAGAGTCCTAACCCGGAGTAGGCCTCGGTAAATGTGGACAAAGATTTTACAATTCCTTCCCCCCTATTCAAATTTAAGGCATTGCTAATGTCCTTCCCGACTCCTAATAGTCAGATGGACTCGAAACCAAAGAAATCAAACCTGTTGTTGATTATCTAGTTGGAGATGGGCCTCCGCCCTGCTTCCTGTACTTTGGGACATTTCTGTTTGTTGGGGCACCCCTGGAGGGTGAAGAAAGACAGCGAGGTGAGGCTCAGGCCAGTTCAGTTGTCGGCTTACTGACATATCTGATTTAAAATTACAGCCAAAATGAGGTTTTATCTTACCTGAGGATTTCAAAGAACACCACCACTGGGGTCTCACATTACCTCAGATAATACAGGAATCTTGAGCTGACTAAATGGAGCGGGTGAGGGAGGCCTCAAGCAGACTCCGGTACCCTGCCATCCCATACCTTCTGTCTGCCCTCCTCCAGTGACACACAGGGAAATGCAGCGATGACCTGACTCGGTTTCATTTCATCTGTACTGCGGGAGCTCAGAGGGGTGTGGAATGGCATCGCTGGCAAAGGCCTGGCATCGCTGGCAAGGGCCTGACATCGAAGAAGAGTTTGAAGCTGAACATACTGAGATAAGATCAGTAAGGAAGCCAGGCAGCCAGATGACTTGTATACTAATACCCAAGTGTAAGACGGCCTCCAAACCCATGCAAAGGGATGGGTCACAATACACAAATCTTTCAGAGAAAGGATCACTTTTAGGCTCTTACGTGGTATATTCTCTTAGATCTAGGCCATTATCATGCCATCTGTAATATAGCTGAAAGATTCAAGGTAAAACTCCTCCAGGAGCTCCAATAGCAACCACAACTCAACTCTGCTCAGGAAATTCTAGCTTTTCTTCCAAGCTTGTATACGTTCTGAACGTGCTGCCCTCCTGACTGTTCTAAATGACAGAAAGCTAATTCTGAAACTGTGAGAATTCTTCTTTCAGTACTAAAAATCATAAATTACTTTTCCTACACTTAGGAATATTACTAGTAGTACCTCTACTACTCTTATAAAAGCAACTTATAACTGAAGCCTGTTGGTAGGATAAGGGACTCTAGAAAATATCTAGTACAGCCCCTTATTTAATAGAGGAGGAACTCTGAATTTCAGAGACATCAGGTGACAGTCCAAGGGGACTTAAGTAGCTGGTAGAATATATGCCAGGCACTGTCTAAGAGCTTTACCTATATTGCTCACTTAATTCTCCTAACAACTCTATAAAGTAAGTATGATTAGTATCTCTACTCGACAGATGAGAAAACTGAGACCCAGCAAGGTTACGTCACATACCTAAGGCCACGCAGCTGGTAAGGGGTAGAGCTGGGATTACAACCCATGCTCTAAACTACTAAAGATCTACGATTAAAACCCAGAACTCCTGACTCCATGGAGGGTTCTCCATCATAAATAATTCTAAGGCTCATGAGCGAGCCACCCACATTTATAAAGGCCTGCAAAACTTTTTTAGACCCTGATTAGAACTAACAAAGATATTTTTTAAAATAATCTGAGAAACCTGAATAGCATATCAACAAATTATTGTTAATTTTATCATAATGACATAGTCATATAAGGAAATATCTCTGTTTTTTAATAATACATACTAGGTATATAGTGAAATGACATACGGTCATATGGCCTGGGACTCACAATCACAAAAAAAAATAGAAAAAAGGGACATATGAAGCAAGTCTGGCAAAATCTTGGTAACTATACTACCTGGATGATAGAATGAGGGTTCATTATACTATTCAACTTTTTTTGCATGTTTATTTTCAACCTTTTCAAACAAGTTAATACAAAGTCATTCAAAAAGGCCCACGAACCTGAACTCATGAAAAATGAAACTAACAATCAAAAATGTACAAGCATGTGCCTTTTTACATTTTTAAGTTTGTTTTTTTAATGGTGGCCTTCATTACCCACCAAACTATTTGATTTTGTTGTTTCTGATCTCACGATCGTCCACTCATCAATACTTAAAGCATGGGAAGAGCTAGTTAAACCCATACATAATTATTTTTTTTTTTTAGTCTATCTGGAGAACTATTGTATTAGTCAGCTAGTTAAGAATATTTATTGAGCATTTACTACATTGTGAACATTATATTAGTGCTGACCCAAATGATCAAAGACAGAGCGGAGTAATATTTACATCAAACTACAGATCCACTGACCAGGGGATTCTAAACTCTGGCTTGGTTGCTGCTCTGCCTCCTGAAAGGTCCAGGGTTACCTTCTCAGATCTGCATACAACAACGCCAGGCAGGTGCACCTTCTGTGGTTCCCTGGCAGACCCTGGGGCAGCAAGAGGAGGCAGGCAGTGGCAAGGAGGTGACGAGGGTGAGGCTTATGGGTAATTTTTAGTGTCTGCAAGCTTTCCCAGATTCTTCCTTTTCCAATGCAGAGACTGTTGCAACGTATTTCCCATTCAGCTGGGAAATGCATCGCACGCCCAAGTAGGCCCAGCTGCTTTCCTGCATTTTGTATCTGTTTCATCATAGGTTTCATCAGACAAGTGACCACAGGCACATAAGACTAAGAGTTGAGACGCCAGTCAGGCATCTGGCTGTTCATGCTTAAAGGTGCCCAGGAAAAACAGACGTACCACTGGAGTGTCATGAGGTAACACAGCAGAAGCACATCATACACAGGAATGGACACTACTAGGTCGCCATCAGTAGGGCATCCTCTGACGGGAAGGGCAGATATTCAAGGACTGCCACACATCAGTAATTAGCAGTGTTGTGTCTGTACTGGCACTTCTGTGCTCCGCCTACACGGCTGATTAAACTAGTACCTCCCCTTCTGCCAGTGTCTGCAGCACTATAGGAATCATGGCACAGGGTTACGCTTTATTTACTCTTCTTTTGCCTCAAATCCCTGATGACCACTACAGGCCCCAGTTAAAAGAACCAAGTTCCCTGTGAGAACAGAAAAGATGCCACAGAGGTTGTGGGCTTTATCCTTAACATACTCACATTGGAAAAAGTCAGGAAGATGCAGGAAGTTGTACTTAGGCCAAAGCAACAGAAGTTAGTTGGGGTTATGAACGAGATGGCCAGGTTCTGGTCTATTCCCAATTCCTGCTCAACTCGACACCATCAACTGATCTCCGTAAAACAGAAAAATCAAATCCCTGTTTACTACAGATTAAATTGTAGTTTGGGAAATCTGGAGAGAGCTGGCAATCTAGAGAAAATCCAAAGTGTGCAAACTGGATATGGAAATCGGCGAAGCTTCAACTCCCATCTCCACAAATGTCATTCATGCAATTCTGTCTGCCCAGGAAGGCCATCGATCTGCCACCAAAATGATGCATCTGGCCCTGTGTTAAAGGACGCGGTACTCCTCCCCAACAATAACCCCCCACATCGTGCCACAAATCCCAGAGAATCACTTCCAAGGCCCATCTTCCTACACTGTTCCAACAAACACCACAAGTCACCCACCCACAAACAAGCCCCTTTCAAGAAAACAAATGCTGGCGACAATGGAAGGAGCTGCTAAAAGTTTCCAGCTGCCCTGCAGAGCTCGCTCCCGCTCAAACGTCGCTCTATTCCCTCACCATTCACGCGATCCGAGTGTACTGCATTTCCAAATATAGCAGGACCAGCCCTGGTTGTGAAAAAGTTGATTTAAAACTTCATCTTCCGGACACCCAAACGACCAGATTCATCTTGGGCTGCTTGCTTTCAATCCCCAAACTTCATAGTACTTTGTACCAATGCTGAAATGACCAAGGGTTCCTAACAGGCCCCCAAAGCCTTCATAAGAAGCGGCCAAAGCTCGGGATGCTGGCTTGGGGGAAGCGGTGGAGGAAAGGATGCCGAACCCCTTCCCTGCGGGAGTTCAGCCCACCCAAAGGGTCCGCAGGGCCATCTCCCACCCTGAGCCGCGGACTGGATGAGGAAGCCCCCACCTCCACTCCCCTGCGCTCCTTCAAGCCACAGGTGCCAAGCCCCTCCAGGACACAGGAGGACAGGGAGGCTGAGGGACGGATGGAGAAAGAAGAGGAATTTCTCAGTTGGCGGAAGGCAGGAAAACTGGGAAAAAGTGGGGCGAAGAAGGGGGAGGGACAGGGCGACCTCACTCCGAGGAAATTTCCCAGGAGGAAAGGGGCAGCAATGGGGGAGAGGATCCTCGGACGCGGGCAGGAGTCTGGGAGTTGCTGCCCCACCAGGACCTTCTCCTCTCCCCTGCCCAACCCCCTGCCCTCCCCATCACCTTTGGATCCCGCGGACCCAGCAAGGTCGGCCGCTCGGCCTCAGCCCGGATGATTTAGAGAGCCTGGCCCGGGCCCGCAGGGCTTCCTGCACCCGCCTCCCTCCCCCCGGTCGTCCCGCACTCACCAGGAGCACCGAACCGCGCACCACCTCCGACACGCTCTGCCGCAGCTCTGCCGCCGTGCCCGGTTTGCTCAGCGCCCGCGTGAACTTCCTAGTCTCCGCCGAGGCGGGGAGCAGCTGCGGCTGCGACATCCTCCCGCCGCCGCCGCCGCCTCCCCCTGCTCCTGCGGTCCGGCCGCGCCGCGCCGCCGCCAGGTGCGCCCTCAGCACCCGGCCCGCTCCGCCTGCGGTTCCCGGCGCCGCCGCCCGCCGGCTCCCCCCGCCGCTCGCCGCGCGTCAGGCCGCCGCAGCCGCGGCCGCGCCCTCCGTGCCGTGTCACGCCCCGAGGCGCCCTCCTCGGCGTCCGCGGCCCCCAGCACTCGCAGCTGCGCCCGGGTTCGTTCGGGGTGACCGTGCGTGTGGCGGCGGCGGCTCCCCCATGCCACCAGCCTCCCTCGGCTGCCGCTCGCCGGGCCGCCTCCTCGGGGCGGGGTGTCCGGCGCGGAGCGGGGCGGGGCGGGGCGCCTGGCGGGCGGAGGAGGGGCCGCCGCGGCCAGACGGCGGGGACAGCGGGCCCGGCAGGTCGGCGCGGCCGGGCGCAGGAGCCAGGCGGTTAGACCCTCGGCGGGGAATGGGGGGCTTGGGAGCGCCTCCGCTTCGGGCCGTTTCTTCTGCGGCCGCACGTCCGAAGACCCGAGTCGAGGGCTGAGCAGGGCTGGAGCAGGGCGTGGTCTCGGGACCCTCTCCCGGACACCAGGTTTCCTGCCCACGGAGCCCCGCCGCGCTCGAGGGGTCCCCGGCGGGGGTCTGAGCTCAGTGGCACCACGCCCGCCTGTGCGCCCAGGGCCTTTCCGGGGGACGGAGGTCTCAGGAAAGTGGCCTTTATTTATGCGGCACGGAGAGGGCACGGGGCCCTACGGAAACCTCGGCCGGGCGGACCTGGACGGAGCGCCCCTGCCCGGACCTAACGTGAGGCACCGCACGCACCCGCAGTGGGGCTTCTCGGCCTCGGGCCACCACCATTCGGCCCCCGGAGGCATCGGGCTAGCGTGGGACCACGCCGGCAGAGGCCAGACGGGCGTGAGAGACACGCACACCCCGGCCGGCCAGGACGGCCTGCTACGTCACCTTGGACGTAGGCAAAACTTCTGAGCCTCGATTATCTCGTTTGTAACCTGAGGATAGTAGCCTGGAAGGCGTTTAAGTGACGCGGCGGCCCTACGCGGAGTCCCATATGGCCCGCCTGCCGCCCCAGTGCGGCAGGACCTCCAGGCGTGGTGTCCGGGAACCCCGGGATGCGCCGGCTTGCGAGCCCACCGTGACTCAGAGCTGGCGGCTGCTAGTGACAGCCACCCTTGTGAGGAACTTCTCACACAGCCTCTCCCGCTTTCCTATCCCTAAGTGACCCCGGTGGCCCTAGCGCCTTCTTTCCTCTCCGCCGAGAAAACCCTGCGTAGCCTAATCCTGACCCGGCCGCGGAAAATGCGCGCGGGGCGGGGGAATTTACACTGGGCCCATGGCGCATGCTCAGTGGTCTGGGATTGGGCGCGTTCCCATGGCGGGGAGCCTGGCTTAAGAGCGGCTCCACTGATTGGCTGAGATGTTCGGGTTACGCCCATCGCCTCCTGTTGGACAGCTTCTTACCTGGCGGCTCGACCTGGGCAACGCTTGGTGGCCAAGATACGGTCTTACGCGCCGCCTTCCACCCCAAGTACCCTGAGGCTTCACAGCCGCCGTCATCGTAGTGGGGGAGGCAGCCCATTGCGTCCCACTCCACGGAAAGCCAAACTCTGGCCTCAAGCGTAATCTTACAGTGGCAGGAAAAAATACCAATCTAGCGCAGAAAGCCAAACACCTCCGTTCTGAACTTAATGGGCAAGTCTGGCACATAGTGAGACTGGAGATGAAGCATGCAGTCAGCACTCAATAAATGCTTGCTGAATTGGGTTGTTTTCCTAGTGGGTTGGGCCCGCAGGATGTAACACTGAGTGAGCTTGACAGGTTGGAAGATAAACAAAACAAGTAATGTGTGATAATAAAAACAATTACCCACTAACCGATTTCCAGCTGTGTGAAATGAGGGATTAGACATTTTCCAGCCTCTTCTGTTCTAAAGTGGAACTGGGTGACCCCAATAGAGTAGAGCAGGTGGCAGCCCCGCCTCACCCTGCCTTTCCCGGGAACTTGGACTGTTTGGTGTGAGCATGCTCAGCTCGCATTTACGCCTCTGAGCCACTCTGGACTGTTAAGAACAGTTGCCTTCAGAGAACCGTAAATTAAAGTTTCTCTTTGAGCTTCTGACTCCCTAAAAAGTACCAAACAACAGAAACTTTTCCCCAGCTGCTACCTTAGCTCTCTAAACTATATCTACTTCCATGGAAGGCAAAGAGATTGTATGTTTTTAATTAAAAACAGTAACAAAAGCACCCAAGGTTCTGGGATTTTCTTTTTTTTTTTTTTAATTTCTTAGTGCATAATACAGTATTGTGAATATTTTCTTTTTTTCTTTTTTTTTTTTTTTGAAGAGCTACTTGGTTAAAGAAAAGTGTGTTCATGTGTGTGCGTGTGTGTGTGTGTGTGTGTGAGTGTGTAGTCAAAGAATAAAATGTCAAATTGTTTTAAAAATCTAACTTGTTTTTATTAGTGATTCATGAACCAGGCAGCATCCTGTGTACAAAATAGAACCAGGAGCTCTGTGGGCATGGCAGAACAGTTGGGTTTTGTAAGGTAACTTAAGCAGGAACAAGGAAACAACATAATGCAAAAAGCAGATTGGTTAACATCAGATAGCTTCAGGTTATTTTCCCTGTATACGTTAAATCGGAGGGGACTGCTTTATTCTGGCTCACGTTGACCAGGCGCCACTTGATTGGTTGAGAGGCATCTCCTGTTTTTTGGAAAACTGGCCTTTTTAGAGATTTTTCTCTTTTTTCTTTAAGTTTCCATTTAATTACTTGACACTTAACATGAGTGACTCCATTTGGTTTGGTCTGTTCTGGCCTAGTGTAGGAGATCAGTTCAAAACAATGGCCTCCTTGGCGGAGGAAGTGGCTCATTCCTGTAATGCCTGTAATCCTAGCACTTTGGGAGGCCAAGGGAGGAGGATCACTTGAGGCCAGGAGTTCAAGATTGGCCTGAGCAAGAACGAGACCCCATCTCTATAAAAAATAGAAAAATTAGCCACACGAAATTAGCCAGCTATGTTGGCACATCCCAGTTACTCAGAAAGCTGAGGCAGGAGAATCTCTTGAGCCCAGGAGTTTGAAGTTGCAGTGAGCTATGATGACACCAAGGCACTCTAGCTCAGGCGACAGAGCAAAACCCTATCTCAAACACACACACACACACACACACACACACACACACACACACAATGGCCTCCTATAAATTTTATTTATATGTATATATAATATAGGTAGATAGAAAATAAAGAATTCCCCAAACCTTCTACTAAATTCTGTACTTGCATGCTAATTCATTATATTCTAGAATTGGCAGATTTTCATTTAGGAAACAGGGAATGTGCCAACAGTAGTCATTGACAATGTCTAACCAAATGTAAGTTATGATAGTCAGAGAAGGAGGCATGGAAATGTGAACTAAGCCCAGGAAGATGGATACACCTAGCAACACAGAGTTGAGTCTTTTCCTCCTGGTGAAGTGTTGTTGATAACAAATGGGACATTTCTCATGTTTAAGTTTAAGCGGAAAGTCAGTCCTTACTGTTATAGGTTGAATTGTGCCCCCTAAAAAGATATACTGAAGTCCTAACTCCAGCACCTGTGAATATGGCCTTACTTGGCAATAGGTCTTTGCAGATGTAACCAAGTTAAGATGAGGTCATACTGGATTAGGTGGACCCTAATCCAATATGAATGGTGTCTTTATAAGAAGAGAAAAGACACAGATACAGACACAAAGGGAGAACATCATGTGACAACAAAGGGAGAATTTGGAATGATGCACATCCACAAGCCACAGAACACCAAGGGTTGCCCGGAACCATCAGGAGCTGGAAGAGGCCGGAAAGGATTCTTCCCCAGGTTCATCAGAGGGAACATGGCCTGCTGACACCTTGATTTCAGACTTCTAGGCTCCAGAACTATGAGAAAATAAATTCTGCTGCTCTAAGCCACACAGTTGGTGGAACTTTGTTACAGAAACCAATATACTCACCAAAGGCTATTCTTTTAAATTTCCACCAGAGTAGGCCCAGAATTGTGTGTGTTCTCTGATATCAACTCTTTCACGGAAAAGAGCGGGGAGGTCACACCTTTATAGAAGGAAGAGAATCAACCAAGAGAGGGCACTGCCTGGGGTGAGGCTGACCTCTGGCAAGGAGGGGTGGATGGTGTTTAAGGTGTGGGAGAAGAAATGTGCATCTACTTTAGTTTGAGAGAGTACCCCCATCTTTGTTTTTCTAAAACTATAGGAAGAAAGTTTTCCTTTCTGTTGAAGATGATATTAGTAGGTAGTGGAGATGAAATATAATTGCAGCCAGTTCTGAAATTTGCATATAAATGACTATAATTATAATTCAAGCACTACCCATGTTTAATGGTAACCTCTTACTACATCATTTCCTTGTTAAGTTTGCCTTAGGATTTGTATGTGTCTTAATGACATATAATTAGTTTAAAATCTTTTCCAGATATATCTTGAAAAAGCATGTGTGTTTTTAACAAAATAAAAAGCCGTAGAGAGTAGGCACTCTGTGCTTTGCAGTATCCAGGGATGTGTGAAAGGGGACTTTCACTCTTTATTTTATCCTTGCCTTGATGGAGTTTTTTTAATAAGCATCTATCACTTTTATACTTCATATCCTAAATATTTCTTACATTTCTTGTTTTTTAAAATTATTCAACCGATGCTTAGAAGTAGTTATTGTTACTTAGAAGTAACTATTGTTACTTCCACTAAGTAACATAAATAGAAGACACAAACCCTTCAAGGAAGAGCATCTGGGAAAGGTGTGCAATTAATCTGACACTCAAGTTTGCAGCTATCACTTAGGGTTAATGTTACTGGAGGAATATAATCCCCTCTTTCACTCCTATTTTAATCAGGAAATGTTCTTAGAGGAGATGAAAGGTATGAGGTCTTTAAGGGATAGTGGAGACCAGGGCTTCTCACAGTTTACTATGCATATAAAT